ACTCTGGAATATGGGTTGACAAAATGAAGAGCTGTGTCCCCCTTTCCACCATGACTCGTTCGGTGTAGGGCTAGCATGCTGTGCTCCAAAGATTCTTGCTGCCGCTGTCTCCCGTTCTTGACATGCAAGATTGGGCCTCGTCTGTCCAACCGGAGTTCATGGCCCATAGCGCTAGAGCGGGAGGGCCCATCTTCGGAAGTTCGGGCTCTCGTCGTGAGCACTCTCGAGCGCTGGAGCCTGGGTCAGGCGTTGTGGGTGGTGCAGTGGGCACCTCGCGCTCCTTGACTCTTTGGGAAACGGTCCTTCGTTGCTGTTCTCTCGTCTAACCGACTATACAACTCGAGGATCTTTGGCTCTTTACCAGCCCGTTCTTGCTTAGATTTTGCTTCGAACTTAGCAACAAGGCTCTGCTACGCTGATTAAACTGATCGAGGGTTTGAGGCTAACTTCGGGCATGGCTACCTTTCCGGGAACTGCGCAGCACGCACGTCCTTCTTCTCAGGGATGGTCAACCGTCCGGGACCGTCAGCTCTGCTCTTGTGCGGCGCGGCCTCCTCCGCCACCGGTCGTCAATATTGCCGATTCGAGATGGAATTGGAGCTGGATGTACAGTAGATCATCAAAACCGCTGAACGCGCGGTAGTTTTTATCGGCAAATCCCGCGTTGCGAGTTGCGACCGACGGAAAATGCGCCGAAGATATGCCTAAATCTGACTTGACTATCGGGATATGCATAAGTAGCCCAAGCATACATCAACAAAATCTCCCGACCGACATCTCGGAGGCTAGGAGTGTACACCGGTGTACACTGTGTACCTGGGTCTTCGGTCGACGGTCGTCGCCAAAACAACGAATAAGAAGCAGGTCCCGACCAACGCTAATGCTAGAGTCTCGACAACCCGCCAACACAAATAGGCCAAGCCTCGTAAATTAGATGCCTGAGTTATCGCTATCATGCGGGGCTCTTCCGCTCATCCCATCTCGCCATCACCTTATCCACAATTCCCGTCAGGCCCTCCATTTCTTCCTCAGGCAGGAGCCCAAGCGCGACCGGGTCAATGCTGCATCCGACGTAAACGGGCACGCCCATGCGCCGGGCCAGAATTTTAGCTATGCGGGTGGCGTATTCCTCTGTCGAGGGAGAGGTGTATAATGTTGTCGAGATGGTGGAGCGAGGAGACACGCGCTAAAATAGGAATCAGTACCGAGCTGGAATGGCTTTCTGGAAACAACTTGCGACAAGCGAATGATAAGCTAGAGCGGAATGAATGGCAGGTATACTAACGTCGGGCATGGCGTAAATGAAACTCCCCATCGGTTTCACTGTTCCGGATGAGTCTCCCGGTGTTGAAGTAGCCAGGAAGACCATTGCACAGGTGTCCAGCACCGTGAGGTGGACGTGAGCTGTCGTGTGTAGAGCGTTGGGGAGGGGAAATGACAGCTCCGTCAGCTGGGATTGCGGCGCCAGCGCTGGCCCTTGGACTTCAGCCATTGTCGGGTTAGTACGTTGAGGCCCCCTTCTTGCTCCTCTTCACAGTTTTTGGATAGTAAATCGTGGTGGGCCGGAAAAGAGAGTGTTAGTGGATGGTTTATGTCTTGATTCACTTCACTGCAGTCAGAGTCGAGGATGGTAAAGGTTGTGGTGTTTCCCCGCCAAACCCAGGGCGGGTCCCGCACTTCACTGCGCACTCAACTTTTGCTTCATGGAATCGTTGCAGCCACACAGATATCATCGTTTCCCTCTGCTTATTCCCACCTGGTGGCAACATATGAAGAGATATTTAGTTGGTTTTTTGTCGGGTTTACCTCAGCTTCCGTCTTAGACTCTCATCTGTTTTTCGCATAGCGTGAACAATTACTAAATCCATGCAATATGGTTTCCGACACGCACTCTCATGAGCACGAGGAGCTGGACGAAACCCGCAGCTGGGCCGGCGATTTCGACCCACTGGGCGAGGCCTCTGAACGGAAAGTCCTCTTCGCAGCATTCGATTCATTTAGGTAAGTGATCCCAGTCCATGGGGGCGAGGGTATCTAGATGGCCACTTGACTATGTTTCGCGGGGCCAATCTCGAAAAAAAAATAAATAAGATAACCGTTCCTCTAATATTTATCCTCGTCAACCCAGCACATAAACGGTAGATTCAGTTGCTAATATTAGCCAACAGACAATATCGACGGAGTGCTCATTTGACTACTACGCATCGGCGGCGTCAGGCATTCTACGCTTTGCCCAAGGAACATTGGCAGATGCTATCAGAGCCGCCGTTCTCACTCCTAGACAATTTCAACAAGGTCGATGATGCCATCGATGTGAATGCAGACCTTGCGGATGCTATTATCGAAACGGGTCTCTCGTCATTTGGTCTCCCTGCGAACCCAGACCGGACGGATCCGTCTCAAAACTGGCATGGAATTGCTACAGCTGCCGATGTCAACAAGGCTCATTCTACGATCAGACAGTTCTACCGGGATTGGAGTGCAGAGGGCCAATCTGAGAGGGATGCGTGTTACGGGCCCGTTCTGGAAGACCTAGATCGGGAGTTCCCCGATAAACTTGACCGGGATGAATATGTCAGAGTCCTCGTTCCCGGTGCTGGACTGGGAAGGCTCGTCTTTGAGATATGCCGGGCCGGATTTGCTGCTGAAGGGAATGAGATCTCCTATCACCAGTTACTGGCGAGCAGCTGGGTTTTGAACCACACTGCCGGCGCGCAGGCTCACGAGCTGTACCCGTTTGCTTTGCATTTCTCGAACATATTATCAAGGGAGCAGCAGCTACGCAAAGTTATGATTCCAGACGTTCATCCTGGTGCTGCGATGCTTGAGGCTCAGTCTAATACACAAACGCCCTTTGGTACAATGAGTATGTCGGCGGCCGACTTTGTGGTTCTGTATAGCAACCCGTCTCAAAAGGACGCGTTTGACGCAGTTGCTACGGTTTTCTTCATCGACACTGCCCCGAATCTTATTCGATACATCCAAGCGATCCGAAACTGCCTCAAACCTGGTGGAATCTGGATCAACGTTGGACCCTTGCTATGGCACTTTGAGGACGGTCACCAGCGTACCCACAGCGGGAACGACGACCACGAAGGCGAACGTAACCAGGGAATTGGAGAGCCTGGGGGTGTCGAATTGACCGAGGAGGAAGTGTTTCTTCTTATTGAACGCATGGGGTTCAGAATTGAGAAATGCCAGTCCCCAGAGGAACGGCGAGAGTGCGGCTATATACAAGACCCCGACAGCATGCTCCGTCCCCTTTATCGGCCATCACATTGGCTCGCACGAAAGAGCTAGACTCCTCAGGGACCTGAAGAACAAGCGATTTCGACGAACAAGCCCTAGAAACTGGCCAAAAATAGGAACAAAAACGAGTCTGCCTTGCAGGATGCGTATCAAAGTGTGGTAACGGTATGTAACGTACGTAATACCGCGATCGGCGGTACAGCCTTCAGCCGCAGCCAACAAAGGAACCCACCCGCAGAGGAGGTATGGACACAATTCTCTGGTCGGCGCATGGCTGAGCAGCGTGGCTGGAGTTGGGGTTTTTCTTTGGCAAAGACCGCTGGTTCCATGGGTTTTGGTCAGGGACGATAAGAATAGAACCAAGAGGAAGGCTGTCACTGGGTCGTTGGGAGCTATCGGAGATTTCAGTATGCATGGTCATTCTTATACTAGCTAGAGCTCTTATTGCTTCTAAAATTTTATTCTCAGATTTATTTAGGCTTTTTTCCCTTCTTATTCGCGTTGGAAGCTTAGGAGAAATTGAGATGGCGCCTGGTGCAACAGCGTCGCTCAGCTTTGGCGAAACTGAGCCTCGATCAAGCGGGAGTGGTGGTGCCAACCGGGGCCCAATGGACCCATGGGGCACCGCCTTCCAGATTCCCACCCGTCAACGGCGGTAGTCTCGTACCATACGTTACAGTACCATGCGCCCCCCTCTCTCTCCCGCTTTGCATGGAATTAAACTGTCCTCTGCAGGCATCAAGAAATAAGCAATGTAATTAAATCAGCTGCATTCCGGGCCTCCTGTTTTTATACTTAAAAAAGTTGTCGTGGTTGTGCGGTTGGAGACCGTCAGTTGTGGTCAATTGTTACGCTGTTAAGAACAAGAACAAACTGGACCCCAAATGCCATTTGTTCGAACGCTCGTATCTGACAGGAACATTGATTATTCTTTAATCTTTTCCTTTTCTCCCATCTCCTTTTCTTTCATACCCCCCGGACCAGAGCTGCTTGAATCCTTCATTCTGACGAGGGATTGGCATTAATAATCATTTGACTCTGTCCGCCTGTTCTGCTGTCCTGAGCGTTCCTCGTGTCGGTCTGCACTCTAAAGCATCACAGTCAGCCTCCAAGCCCAGGCACGATTCATTGCAGGAAAACAATTCGAAGTTCTTCTCGCTCGATTCCTTAGCCTTGCGAGTCGCCTCTCCCCCGAGATTCATCTCGTTCCTGCTCTCTGCTCCAGTCGTTTCTACCCTCTGCTTCTTCCCCTCTTTTTTCAAGGCCCGATACGACCTGGATCCAGCCCACTGCTTGGCCAAGCGCTGCATTGCATCGCAACAATAATTCATTGATTGAATAAAATACCCTCTCTTTCACTCCGACTGTTCCCAGTCTCTGACAGGCACTGCCTCCTCCCATACGAGTTCCACTCGCACTAGTCCTGTGGTCCTTTCAGCCTTCCTCTCCCGCTCTCGTGTTCTCTCCCTCTCCTCTTTCTTTACTTCTCTTCTTCCCCCCTTGTTCGACTCTCTTCGGCTCCCGCCATTCACATGGAATCGATGAGCTCGCGATTCAAGTCGTTTAGCTGGAAACGAAGCAAACAACAACAACCAAGTGTCTCTTCGATAGCTCCTGCTGAATCCATCCACTCCCCATCCACACGAACGCTCGTCTCTTCGCCGCCTCCAGCTCCGACTTCCAATCCCGCCCCCTCGAACGCATCCACCAGTTCTCACCCCGGCCAAAACTCGTCAGAAACCAGTCTTCCGATGAACAACCAGAATCAAATGGGCCAACCGCCTAGCTACACCTATAATTCTGTAGCTGGGCGGCCAACCAGCCCCATGCCCCCCGCTGGTGGGCAACAAATGCCGCACCCGCTCAATACCAACATTCCTTATCCCGGGCAACAAACCCTGGGCGCTCCGCCCGTCTATGGCATGCAGCAACAGCAGCCTGTTGGGATGGGTCGGGGATTGCCAACGGGGCCTGCCCCGTACGGGCTCCGAACGAACCCCGCTCACGAAGTCGAGGGTGCGGGGCGGAGCAAGGCTTCGCTTATTGTAGGAATTGATTTTGGTACAACTTTTTCTGGTGTCGCATTCGCTTTTGCGACCAACAATGAGGCGCGAGAGGATATTATCACTGAATGGCCTGGAGCTGGTACTCACACAAAACAGAAGGTGGGTCCCCCCTCCCCCCAATCCGCAACCCCCACCAGAGCTGTGGCCACGGGAGTCATCGTCTACATTTGTTTACCTTGGGCTATGAAACTGACCACCTGAATTTCTTCTACTAGATCCCCACTGTTTTGTACTATGATCAATACCAGGAGGTGGTAGGATGGGGTCCCGACATCGCGAATGCGCTGGCCCCAACCGGTTATCCGAAGCAAGGAGTGCAGAAGGTCGAATGGTTCAAGCTCCAGCTTATGCTTTCGGGTAACACATACATCGACCCCATCAACCTGCCGCCGCTCCCACCAGGCAAGTCGGAGATTGATGTTGCGGCCGACTACCTCTTCAAGTTACGTCAGGCGATGCGCGCCCAGTTACAAAAGACACTCGGTGAGGTGTTCACAAGAGAGGAACGTAACATCAAGTACTACCTTACGGTGCCCGCGATCTGGAACGATGCAGGGAAGGCGGCGACCCGCGCGGCGGCTCTGCAAGCTGGATTCTTGCGAGACGAGAACGACAACCGCCTGACGTTAATCTCAGAACCGGAAGCCGCTGCACTGTTCTGTGCCAAGACCGGTCTGTTGAACCTCAAGGTCGGTGATGCGATCTTGATTGTCGACTGTGGTGGAGGTACGGTAGATTTGATCGCATACGAAGTTGAGGAAGAGCAGCCATTCAGCGTAGCTGAGTGCACTGCCGGGTCTGGAGACTCGTGCGGTTCGACAGCCCTCAACCGCAATTTCAGTAATATCCTGCGTGCGAAGATCAGAAAAATGAAACTTCCTGATGGATCGCGGACGGCTGGAAAGGTGTACGCCAAGTGTATCATGGACTTTGAGAACCGTATTAAGGCCGACTTCCGGAACAACGGTCAGAAATGGGCGGTAGACGTCGGTATCGAAGCGGACTTCCCTGATGCTGGAATCGAAGAGGGTTACATGACCTTCACCAATGAGGAGATTCTCCAGTGTTTCGAGCCTGTCGTCAACCGCATCCTTGAGTTGGTTCGTAACCAGATCATCGCTATTCAAGCGCAAAACCGGAATTTGCAGGTACGTGCCCTATAGGTCATATTATAAAGGAATGTTTGGAAGTCTAATGAAGCTGCAGAATGTGCTCGTCGTCGGTGGATTCGGCGCCTCGGAGTATCTCTTTCAACAAATCAAGCTGCACGTACCTCCTCAGTATCAGTCCAAGGTTGTCCGACCCATGGACTCCGTCGCTGCGATTGTAAAGGGTGCCGTGACTGCGGGTATCACAGAGCGAGTTATCACTCACCGTGTTGCGCGTCGGCACTACCTGATGGCCACACTCCAGCCTTTCAAGGAAGGCTACCACCCCGAACAATACCGTGTTCCCAGTCTTGATGGCCGTGACCGCTGCAAGTACACCCGGCAAATATTCGTCCAGAAGGGAGAGCGGGTCAAAATTGGCGAGCCCGTCAAAGTTAGCTTCTTCCGTCAAGTTGCTCCGGGAGCAACTCTCATGTATGAGGATATCCTGTATGCCTGTGATGAGGACGTGTGCCCTGAATACACGAAGGATCCACGTAAGTCTAGTTCCACCCCTTGCAAAGCTTCATATAAAAGGTGCAATTCTAACCATCCTCCCCTGCAGGTATCAAGGAGGTCGTTACCCTGACGTCGGATCTTTCTCGCAAGAACCTCGAGACCGACTTCGAGCGCATGGACACACCTCAGGGCACTTTCTACCGTGTATATTTCGACATTTATCTGACACTTGACGGCAGTGAGTTCAGCGCTGAGTTAGTCTGCCAAGGCGAAGTTATGGGACGATGCCGTGCGAAGTTCAGATAAGCCAACTTGGAAGAGGCAAATGAATTTTCACGATAAACGAAAAGAAAAGCAATTATACGGACCTCCCCATGGAAAGGATCTTTTTATTTTTACTTTTTTCACCTCGCTTTCCTTCAGCACCATCCCACTCGAAGAAAGGACGGTGAAGACAGCTGGACCAGATGTCTTATCTCCAAACCACGGCCCAAATACACACGAATCCGTTTTAGGTCAACAGCAATGCACCGAAGGGCGTTTAAATCCTCTAATTCAACACCTTTCTTTGGTCTTGTCCATGACAATTCACAACTTTTGAGATCCCATTTTTTACTCCCCATTCTTGCTTTTTCCCCCCACTCACCTTCCCTATTTTGGCTCATGTTGCGACTTTTTTTTATTCCGAGTTTCCCTGACAAGTTTCTTCAGCCAAGCTTCTTCAATGCCGCATCTCTCTCTTTCTCTCTCTTTTCCCCACTCGCCGTGGGGTCTGTTGGTTATTCTGCCTCTGTTGTTTTTTTCGGCCCATTCATCTACCTGTCTGTTCATCTATTGACTGATTGATCGGTTGCGGCTATCTTTTTTTCTCTTTTTTTTTTTTTGGATACCTTTACCTATCTACTTAGGTTATACATATTACATAGCTATGATTATTGACTCATGATATTTTTGCCGTCTCTCTCAATCTCCCACATTCTCTTCGACGTAGTACATGGGGTAATAAGTTTGTCGATAAGATAAGGTTTTGTCAAGGCTATCAGATACTCGACATGCAAAATGCTACGGAGAAATAACTATAGATACTTAATTTGGGATGCTGGGCGATCGCTTGCGCAGCCATATCTCCATTGTTTATAGACAAACACCCAGGAACGCCCCACCCCCCAACTCTGTTTGCCTGGTGATATTATATGGATGATAACAGCAGATATTGGTGATGATCATTAGATCCTATAGATTTGATACTAAACGTTGAAGTTGAAGAGCTACTAGGCAGGAGCGACATCTTCGCTCCTTCCATTATCGTATTCGAAGACTTGGGGGNGGGGGGACAACGCACTGTAGATTGAGAATTCTCTTGTTTCTTTTTCCTGCGTCCTGATTTCCCGCTTTTATATATTTATTCATTTTTTGGTCTGTCCTCTTCATTGATAGAGCCAAGGTGGGATTTGGTTCTTGTCGATCAATCTGGTTGCCGTGTTGAGCTTTGGGGGCTGGTGGAGAGATGGATGGATAGACATCTGGACAGGTAGGTAAATGGACGATCAATAAGATGAGATTTCCCATGATTTGTGATGAGGCTGGAGGAGAGATTGGCTGGTGTTGGCAACTGACACGGAGCTCTGCGCCAGTATATTTAAGCCCGTTTGCAGATATCCTACATATATATCTATCTCCGGTCGGGGGCTGCGTCGGCGAAGAAAAGGAAAAACGACACTTGGGAAACCCATCTGCAGCTCCGTTGGAGGCATCCGAATGGCTCCAACTATTGACTCGATCTAGAATCGAGAGCGTCGTTCTGCTTTTTGCTTTTTTTTTCTTTTCTTCCACGAGCCTCGGACAAGTCTCCGAGTTCCAGAGCGACGTACCCTCTCCCTGGGTCATGGTTACTTTTTCCTTGAGTGATTGTGTGGTTCGAAGCTACGTCGATGGCTTGAGACTATCTCGCTACTTTAATCGTCTGCTCGGGAAAAGAGTGGCTGATGTTGATGACCTGAATTTATACGGATCGAGACCTTCAGTTACCTCTACACCCCCAGACGCATCATTCGACCTTGAATTTATTTGCCCGCACTTGGTCACTGGTAACGACCAGCTAACACGGACCTCATGAATTAGGCAGGTGAGACACAGAGCGGCTTGCGGGATTCCACATGGCTCCATTGTGCAGACATCCCAGGCATCCATTCCTCGATGAAGCGCTCTTTGGACCTAAACACAGCCACAGCCTCTCCCCGTGTTGACTCAGACTGTCGTGCAAAAGTTCCATAGGCTGGGGGATAAAAATGCGGAGAGCGATCCTTGCAGTTGCGTCACATCATAACAGCTCAGACAGACACGTCCGTGCACTTGGGGGATCCTTGCCCAATTCCCTGTGGTCTCATTGGATTCTGGGGTCGGCCGAAGGACAGCAAACTGGTGCTTGCCTTCTCGTGGGCAAGACACAAGCGACTAGGCACCATTGGAGTCAAACTAGACCAACATGAGAAAGAGGCCGTGTGCCTGCCAGTGCTCTGGAGGAGTGCCGTTTGGCTGCAAAGCTGTCAATCCCCCTGCGCTGCTCGATCTAAGACCGGTGTTCCGTGCGCAATGAGGGGGCTGCATTAGTTATATCGCGGGGTCACGCCGGCTCGGTTTGACCGGGACCCATGGACAATTGGACATACACTTAGATTGTTTTCTGTCATCGAAACCATCATTACCAATGGAATTGCGCATCGGAGTTTGCTATCTGTGCCCGTGACCTTGAGCCTGACAGGCCAGGTGTCTCGAAGGGCATGAGACAAATGTCATGTTCGGGCGAATAATTCCTCGGAGGACTTATTATTGCCTCTGCAAGTCTGGAAGGACAGTGTGAAGGGGCCAAGCACAAGCAACGAATAAGGAGCCCAAAAGAACCTGGAAAAGCCCAGGTGAGAGACAAGGAACGGTGAGCACAAAGAGAAAGTCAAGAGATGTCATAAAAAAAAGTAAAGAGCAGCTAAATGGGATTAACTCGACGAAACGGGAGCGTAGGTTCGGAAAACCTTCGAAAAGAAGCCCGGCAAGAAATGAAGAGGAGAAAAGGCCGAGCAAAAGACGGGTCGACAAGGGACAGGAAAGCGCAAAGTAAAAAATAATAAAAATAAAAAAAAAAAAAAAAAAAAAAATTTTTTTTTTNTAAGATAATAAAAATAATAATTTATATTATAATAATTTAATATAATATATATAAATATATATAAATGTAGATAAATATATATATTATAAGGAGCTGAAACGAGTGAAAGTTGCGAAAAGCATAGCATGAACAGTTTGCCCAGGCCCAGAGCGATGGGCCTGATGGCAAAAAAAAAAAAAAAAAAAAAAAAAAAAAAAAAAAAAAAAAAAAAAAGGGAAAAGGAAAAAGGAAAAAAGAAAAAAGAAAAAAGAAAAGAGACATACCAAGAAGAACAGATAAACATCTTTTTTTCCTCTTGACACCACCGGGTCGAGGCGAAAAAAAGCGAAAGAAATCGAGTGTCGTACAGACATTGTGGTCTGTAGTACTGTACTCCAAAATAATATTAAGTAGCGGCAAGCGCGCTTTCCGCGATATGGGGCGGTTGCAGCGCAGAAACCCCAGATGGACCTCGCCGAATCTTGAAATCTCCTGGATCGGGCGGAGCTCTAGCCTCCATCCGACCCAGCAAGATGGAGACTGGTCCAAGAACGAAGCAGCTGGATTCTGAGCCGGTCATCGGGCTCATTTGCCCTGCTCGTCCTCCTGCTATTTTTGTTGAGTAAAGGTCGAATGTAAATCCTCGGCACCATGGTCGGCTCCATCGAACATGAAAGACCAGGTCCATTATCCATGAACTCAGCTGCTAATTCGTTGGGGGCGTTGCATTCGCTCAGGCGAGGTTCGGCATGAGGAGTAGCATGGCTGTGCACAACAGTCGATGAAGAAGCCTCGCCTGCAAGGACACCTCATAGTACGTCAGTGTCGAGTCGGTTGACTCCAGACCGTCTCCAAGAACATCCCTCTCCATGATGCTAGTGTCAGCGGCGCCGACGGAACTCACTGACCACTCACTGACTTTGGAATAGTCAGACACACCCACAGCTTGCTTGAAAACATATGCCCTCTGTGTGGAGGGGCATGGGATATGGACCGCGAGTAGTTTGGTAGCCGCCTGACGGTGGTTTTATTACTTTTGAGGCTGGTGACCACCGACGCGGAGTTGGGGGTTGGCCCACGCAGCATCCCACGCGCTGACGGCCCTTAGAGAACTCCTCTGTTGCACAAGGGTAAGGTGATGTATGATCTTCAGCAAATCTCAATCTGGATGCTACTCGGGTGTTGTGAAAAAGGAACCTCCAAACTTGAGCGCTGGTGCGCTATTTTTGACTTTTCTCGTAATTCAATCAGCTACTCTCTTCCCCATTCTCTCTCGCTCTCTTTTTTCTTTTTTCTTCTTAGTCGTCGATATCGGAGAATTACGAAGTTGAATATCGAGTTCCACAGGAACAGAACCGCAGGAACCTGGGAGACAGCAAAACTTAGTAACAATCACATACAGCCTTTCGAGATTTGGCTTCAGCTCAGCTCACGAGGTCTGCCTTGACTCTTGAATCGTTGCGCACGGACGGATACGCGTGGGCTCGCCTGACGATTTTCGCCTTGGTTCTTCCTACAAGGGCTGGACAGAGCAGTCTAGTCGCTGGTGCCTTTTCCCCATAGTTTATACCATATCGGGTTAGCTTCGTACATCCTTGACTGCGACCCATAGCACGGTTACAGCGGTAGTGACGACTTAGCTACATAGTAGCCTTGCGGATCTCGAGCCAGAGCCTGAACCTGGTCCTGCGCCCTTGTTTGGGACTTCTTGTCCACTCAGACGCCCCATATCCCAGCGGATCCTACAACCACACCCCCCTCCTGCACTGACTTGACCCGAAGACTTGGTGGAGCTCAATTGACCTGAAAAGCTGAGAAACTCTGCTCGATCATGTGGATGCTGTCAGGTCCATTTTCTTTTTTGGGGCGGCAAGTTGCGGCTTTTGCGGGGAAAAGTAGAGCGTATCAGAGTTCAGCCAGGCACTCTGAACCAAAATTGCTGGGCTCCAAACTGTAGCAAATCGTATGACCCAGATGATGATCTTTGCTCCAGGGCCGCCTGTATAAGTATAACTGGAGCCATTGTCCCTGTCGAGGGAAAGAAAGTTTTGCTATGTTGAACCTTTTCTTTTCGCCGTCCGGTCAGGTTTGCTTTGTGGAGTTTCGAAGTGCGTGAGAATACTTGGAAGTTACCTGGAGACCAAGTTTCTTTTCCCTTTCTTTTTATTTATTCAGCCTATCTGTTGTTTTTCCCCCTTCTGTCCTCTTTGCCGCATGCTTTATACAAAAGAGATGAACCTCCTGGCGACCATTGGGCTTGCAATTCTGTTGCTCACCTTCATTGCCCTTAAGATCCGAAAAGACTTGCCCTCATGGCTTGCCACCGCCAAACGCATTGTCCAGCGTACCGACTGCGATGACATTAAGAGAATGGCACCATACCCAGCCCAGCCCATTAAGGGGAGGGATAGGTACCGGGTCATGATGGATATCCGCAAACTAGATGTGGAGAACTGGCTCACCTTAGACAAGAACTATATGGACGAGCATGTTGTCAGAGGCGAATTACTGGCAAATGAGAAAGAAAAGGTCCTCCAATGTCTACCAGAGTCATATGAAGCTTGCCTTGAGGCGTTGGAGGAAGTGGTCGAGTTTTTGACCCAACGATTTGCCAACATGTTCGATATGAAGAAGAACGGTGAGGAAACGACGGTTTACAACAAAGTGACGGGCGAAACATTCGTTTTCGGTGGAGACAGGTCGGGTCAGATGGACCCTCTCGAGATTGCCGTGAGGCTGACAATGGAGGACCTGAGCATTCTGATGAAGAATGCGGACGGGGAGTATTACCTGTTAGTACCCAAAATTCTGCACAAGAACCACCAGGCTAACTTGATATATAGGGCCGCAAGTGCAAGCCTATTTCCCGTAGGATGGACAGTGGCAGAACGAATTGGATGGACGATCTCCCAGCTGCACAACCCAGTTCCTTTATGGCACCAGCAGGTATCTAACTCTGTCAGCAAGTAAGTGAAATCTCGGAACAAACACCAGAAAGCAAAAGTCAGGGGGTAAGAAGTCAAATTAACATCGCATCAAATCTAGGTTTCTGTGTCGTCTGACCCCTGAGTCCCCTATGGAACGTTCCAACTATTTCGTTGAAGTAAAGCGGCCAGATGAGAAACTGTTTGATATTCTGTACCGGCCTACCACTTTATCTGAAGACAATCCGGACCCATCTCCGCGAGATCTCGTCATCCGCCGTGAACGGCAGACTTTCCGTAGGCTTCCTCGGACTGGTACAATTGTGTTCGGGGTCAAGACCTTCTTGACCACGCTGGATGAGCTCCCGATGCAGGAGCTTGAGAACTTGGTCAGAGAAGTGAAGAGTTGGCCGGAACACGTGGGTGAATACAAGGGCAGAGAAATCTGGGGAGCGAAGGCTCTCGAATTCTGTGAGAAGAAGCGTCAGCAGCAGAACGAATCCGAAAAAATGGATGTTTAGTCGAGATGGTAGTGAGGACAGGAAAGGAAAGGGCGCGGAGGGGCCCGTCAGGAAGAGGAAGGAGGAAATTGGTTTCGTTGCGTTTGAGCTTGCACTGGGAGGCTTTCTGTTGCATCACCATCACCATCACCGTTGTGGCATTTTTTGCGTGCTTTGCTTATTTATTTCTCGGTCTGCAAAACCCTGGGCGGGCGGCTATCTGCTTCAAAATGCATTTTATTTGCGTGCATCGGTCTGATTATCAACTTTGTCTTCTATCATTTGTTCTTGAGTCCTGTTGCGCTTTGGACAGCTAGCCGGGTGAGGAATGCTACGCGCGGAGAGGGGAAACTTTTTTGAATAGGCTGTTACAGTTGAAATTGTTTTAGCAACCATATGGCATTTGTTTGGGGGAGAGTTGACACAATTGGATTGTGGCGAAGTATTATCTTGATATGTACAGTAATATGCTCTAAATTTGAACAGTGCCCGGCGTCTTCAAAATCGAAGGAGGTAATATATATGTACGCTGAAATTTATGCGGCGAAACGGATATAAAAAAGAAGGAGGAAAGGAAAAGGAATACAAAGAAGAACAAAATGACTGACGGGGGGGTCGCAATATCTGCAGTTGGGTGTCAAGTTTAAGTCTAAATGACCTTCCATAGAAGGGTCAAAGGCAACGGTATCCCAACAGCTAGAAGACCAGAAAAAGTACTAGGTAAGAAGTCTAGATCTTTGCGCGAGGTGGTTCATCCTGCTTCAGCCTTACAACGCCCTGTAGGTTTCAATGTCAGCCGTTTGAACACTGCTAAAGGACACATGCCACATGGAATGCCAATCCATGCAAAGTTAAAAACGACAGGATGAAGTAAACATACCTCTTGCGTGCATGTGGCAATCAAAGTTCCGTCCTTAGCCCAGATCCTCTGCAGCACAAGGCCCCTCCCCTCACCAGCCCACGGACTCTCCATTTCCGTGAGCATCCATTCGTCTGCTCGGAACTTCCAAGGGTTATGGAAGTAAATGGAATGGTCGAGGCTGACCATCATACCAATTTCTTTGTGGTCCTTCTTGGCCTTCTCGTCCTGGAGTTTAGTTAAAGCTCCTTCTATACGGCGTCGCAAATCCGCTGCCTCTTCCTCCTTCAGCTCATTCAGTGACCGCGCAATGTCCTCGTCATCGAGATCAGAGGGATTCTTCAAAGCCTTCAAAGCCACTTGCAACTCCTTGGCGGACGAAAATCGCGGAACGTCATGTACTCGGGAAACGGTGCCAATGAAAAAGCTATCCGTAATGTATGCGAGAGCAGACAAGTGGGCGTGCTGGGCCCCCTCATCCGAGATCGTGCCTCTGGACCGAACCCAGCGCCTGAGCTTCTTCTCTTCGGGGCTGGAGTCGCCTAAATATGGTCAGAACAGCACCTCGTAGTTGTATAGTCCAGTCATTTCGACTCACGATTCACTATGCCAGCCCGAGCTGATTCAAACGGCCCCCTTCGAGCGTTATCGACATCGAACTTTTGCCGACCGGATGCGGGGTCAGCCGGAAGAGGAACAGGTGGCATAGACGAAGCATGTTGAAGCTTCTTCTTTCCACCGCTATTGGCTTTGCTGAAACTCAATGTGGTTGTGAAGATGGGCCGCCCTCGTTGCCTTGCCTGAACGGTTCGAGTAATAAAACTCCTTCCGTCGCGGACTCGTTCAACGTGGTAGAGAATCGGTATTTCAGAATCGCCTGCGAGGACAAAATAACAGTGCATGCTGTGCACGGCGAAATCGGCGGGGACAGTTCGCATTGCGGCCGCCAGAGACTGGGCGATTGCGGCTCCGCCGTAGATACCTCGGGCTCCCGGAGGATGCCATAGGGGGCGAGTATTGGTGAAAACATCCTGTAATCCCCCACAAAATCATCATCATGATTAGAAGAGTCTGTGGCAAGTCGCAAAGCAGGGAGAGAACTTATGACGAACAGGTCCAATGTCATCAACAGGTGTGAGGTCCAGGACGTTTTCGATCGGCGCCTTGGACGAGTCCAACTGTGGAGGTTCAAAGAGCGTCACCCGCTTCGACATCTTCGATTTATCCAGCTTGTTATTGCAGCGCAAGTCGAGTTGGTTGTTTTTGCAGATCACAGCATAAGTTTTGAGGGTTTCCAAGCAATTGAAAAGGGAGCAAGCCTGGGTTTTTCGAGGATGTTCTTCACGCGCTGTACCCACGGCTGGCCCGTTACGGTAATAGCCGAGGCGTTTTCTCAGCCGAGTTATTAATCAGTCCTCAATTCCCCATCGATATCGACCGGGCAATCGAATCAGGGCTAGTCTACTTCGTATCACTCACTTTCATAAAACAAGGATAAAAGAAGATCAGACCAATGATATTATTTAAGTAGAAACACGATGCTAGGTATCTTTCGCAAACACAGTAACCCAAACCTAAAACGCTCCTGACATGTGAAAAGTAAGCAAAGGCACGCCGTCCCAACATCATAACGACTCCCGTATGATGGATATCCCAAGATCGATGCAAAAATTACTCGTAGGGTGTCAAAATTGGCGCCCGTCAGTCGGACGGGGCAGTAAATGTATTCGTTGGTATAGAGCCGAGTTCCAACATACGGCGCCATGAATTCATTACTTCGTGAAATCTTGCAGTTGTTCAGCTAAAGTATCCCTCCTCGTTAGGCGTAGGTAGGAACGAATTAAGACGATCAGGATGGTTGACTCGGTAGGTCTTTTGTACGGCCCTTGGACTCAGTGACTTCCTGGAAGAGTTCTGCTCCAAAAGACGCTGCAGTTGCTGTCGCTGCATCTCTTCGTCGGTCAGAAGAATCGTTCCCCGGTTAGCGTTCCCAACTGCTTCGTTGACATCGCGTGAGTATAACCATAGTGCGCATAAAGTGTAGAGGAACGCAAACGCGGCGGAGAAACTCAGGCATAGGATCTCGAGAAGACCCAAGGGCAGCAAGTCCCGACAGAGAATATTGATAAGAACATTGAACAGCGCAAGGGTATTGGATACTAAGCAAGGACTGAGTCAAGTTAGCCTGGCAAGAGCGCGACGAGTCAGTCAACAGGTAAACATACACGAGTAATGATTGAATAAGGTACATCCGCTCATCAAAGTGTAACAGGACCAGGAAGAGAGAAAGAGAGTATGCGATTCCAATCAAGACAGATGAGACGATCACCGTGACTGTTTTATTGACATGGGGCTCATCTCCAAAGGCCAAGGGCATCACCAGAAACCTGCGCAATGGGTTTCATTAGCGAGATTGCGACTCAGTAAGGGCCGGTATGTGCTATACCCAACGAGTGCTAAATGAGAGGCCACTGAAGCAAGAAATGTGCGTAAGCTTTGCCCCGTGGGCTGGCTGACGGGCTGGGCCGGCGACCCTAACTCATGGTATTGAGAAATCGTCGACATGATGAGGACGATGTAGCGGATATCCCAAGGGGGGTTCCAGCTTCGAAAGAGTCGAAAGTGCAAGAAAAAGGGAGTTCTTTGTTCTCTGAACTCGATATATTGATCGACAGCGCTGACGGCCGAGCTAAGGAATTAAAGAGATGGGGAAAGGAGGGATGCGACCGCAAACAAGCGAATGGAATCCGCGGCGCAGGGCGAGATATTAAGCAATGATAGAGAGGTGCTGGTAGCAAAGTATCATGGTCCAATCGAAGCAAACGACAGAAACAACTTTGGAGTCGAAGATGTAATGAGATCAAGAGGAGCATTAACAGGAAGGGCCCGGGGGATGCTGGGATCTTCTTCAGCGACCGGACCAGCCACACTTGAATCAATTTAATCAGGTTAAATCAGCAGCAGACTGGGCGTTGAGTCGTCGATCCCCGGCCGTCAGCAAGTGACACCGTCCTGGACGCCTCACCCCCTCATTTCACTGGCCAGCACCACAGCGCGCTAGGTAGCAAATAGGCTAGGCAACGCGACGGGCTGGTCGTCATTTTTATTTCTCCAAGCTTGGCCTTCAGCTGGGACGACTTGATTATTTCCCGGTCCTTTTTATTTCAAGTTGGTATGACACGAGTTGCTATCCAAAACAGGGCCTGTTTAAGGCATCCGGTTTGGGGGTGTTGATTCGAAACCGTGGACCTCGTGGCCCTCCAGCAAGGAAGTTGGACACGAAGCTGCCCTTCTTTCGAACATGCAGTGATATAAATGGAGCAAGTCTAGTCCGAGGTCGGCTCAGCCACAATATTTGCTGCTCACTTAAGAGGCTCAAATCACCATCCAAGTCAAGGCTAATGCGTAAGATATTTGAGTTAAAAAAAGGATGCTATTTTTAACTTAACATTTCGGAACGAGATGATCAAGGGACAAGGTTACTTTGAAGATTGGGTTGGAGAACGTGGAGCCACGATTACATATCTGCATTTACAAAGCCTAATTATTCGACCGCTGCAGTCTCGCCAAATAATAAGTGTATTTTTAAAGAAAATCGAGTGGTCGTCAAGACTTTTCAGATGAAAAATCTACTAAAAACAATGTATAAGGCAAATCTAGTGCGCAATATAATACACCAAAACAGTCACAGCAATACAGACTCACGTCTATTTGGAGGGAGCAATCTCGACACCACCGGTGGCACCGAGAAGACGCTTGATGTCACCGTAGATGGCGAACTGACCGGCAGTGATGGTACCAATCTGTTAAGATCGTTAGCGTATTTGATACAGACGGGCTTGAGCGGGTTGCGGGGGAATTGTATCCAAACCTGGATCTTGACTTACCATGAAGAGACGAGCACCAATACCGGAGAAGCTGCCCTTGAGACCAAGCTCCTTAGCGATCTTGATCAGACGGGAGGTGGTGCCCTCACCGGGGAGACCCTGGGTCTTGTTGATCTTGGAGAGCATGGTGTCGGCGGGCTGGGAGACGATAGCGGCAGCGAAACCAGCAAGGAGACCAGCACCAAGGTTGACACCAGTCTTACCACCGTCGGAGAGGGAGTTCTTGTCGACAACAGAGAAGATGGCCTCGGAGAACTTCTCGAAAGCGACGAACTTGGCCATGGTGTAAGGAACCCTGTTAAAAAAATTGCTTAGTAATCGTTCGGGTCTTTGTCGCATTCGATCGGATACTTACTGCTTGAAGAGGATGGGACCGAAACCAGAGTAGAAAGCGCCAATACCCTCGTTCTTGAGGATCTTGGTGAAACCGCTCAGAAGACCGCTAGCGAACTCGGGCTGAGAGACAAGACGGATACGGGTAGCTTCAAGGGGGCAGAGGGCAATATCGGCAAAGAATTCAGCGGTAGCGGACGAGGCGAGGTAGATGGCAGTGCGGTTCTTGGAGGCGTTCTCAAGACCGAGCTGGTTGATCCACTGCTGCTTGAAGAATTCATAACCACCGAACTTGAAGGCACCCTGGAGGAAGTAACCGGCGGCGGTAGGACCGAAACCGGTAAGGAGAGCGCCAGCACCCTCGTTGGCAACGACCTGGCGGAAACCACCGATCATACCACGGTTGTATGTAGCCGGGTCAAGTTGGATTCTGGTCTTGACGCTGTGAAATCGCAGTATGTTAGCACGCAATTCAAGGCAAATTTCCAGAGAGCATATTTTCCGGCAAGGCGCGCTTTCACTGGACAAGGGCCAACGAGGGAAGCGATTGTAACTTACACATCGACAGGGGTGAGAGCACCGTGGGTGACGGAGCAGCAGACAGCACCAGCGAAGGCGAATCTGGAGTAGAGCTGGAGCCCAGAGAGGGGAGCAGGGGCGGCGGGAGCGTCAACCTTAGGAGCGGAGGCCATTATTACGGATTATGCGAGAGACTGTGTCTTACGCGGGAGAAAATGGAAAGAGGAGGAAAAGAAATGAAAGAGAGATGGGAGAGAGAAGAGTGGAGACAGATGGAAGAGGGCAATTGAAGGCCTTTGAGAGGATGAGATGCGAAGAAATTGAACTGGGAGGAGGTTGGAAGGGATGGCGACGACTAGGCCGGGACTAGGAAACGGCACCCGAAAACTTTTCGCCCTCTTGGCCGGTCCACCGCCGCTAACTCCGATCGCCCGGTCAACACTGCGATATAAACCTTGTGGCCACTGCTGGCTCGAATGGCGACCTCATGATGCGAAAAGTTACATCATCGTTGGAAAATATTTTGAAGCTGAATAAGAAAACAGACTTGGCGGACTCAGAAGAGTCTTGGGGCGCTTGGGCGCGGCATATACTCGGTGAATTGCCTGCCGGCTGTTTCCAGTCGCTCTCACTTCATATGTGCTACTGACCTACTATGTATCGGAGAGCTCGGAAGTCATAGCGCCTTCACTATCGCGAGCAGACCCGGGCGTGGAGTCCCGCGTCATTTCAAGGCGTTGAACGGAATATCTAACCAAAAGCTGTCATAATCTTTACAGCCTCAGGCATCAATGACGGCAGCCTCCCCGACGTCGACTTGATTGGTTCACCACATTTCCAATTGCTCCAGGTCGGTGCAGCTGCCATGGTAGTGCCTAACAACTGACCTCGAAGGCCAAAGGATGTTTCCAGGTTGTCTCAATCCTGGGCGTTCAGGTTAACTTTTGCATCTCTGGGCTTGTAGTTCAATCGAGTCACCACCTGAAAGGTCGCGTAGAAAAAGTACAATCACATCATGCGGCTTTACAGGGACTTCTAGTTGCCAGATACAAAACTTTGACATCCCTGTCGTCGATCCAAGCAGCTGTTAGACTTTACCAGATAAACTAAGCGACAGAAGTTATAATAGGCGCCATACTTTACTCAACTCCACCCATTATAATATGAGCTGCAACCGCGCCATCATTGTTCAGTCAGATTGTGACATGTACTGCATACACATCCGATGCACCTCTTTACTACTCACGTCGAGATCAGACAGCTTCCCCAGTATTTATTTAGCTTAAACGTAGGCGCAGGTGGATTCGAGGAGCCCCCAAAGTTTCTTCATGATCACTGGGTATCGTTGACACGATATATATAAATATATGTTAAATGCTCTCTTTTCTCTTATGCGACCACTCCTTTGGGAGAAAGGGAAAACAGCCATGGAAAGAAATCGAGGGTACGCTCTATTGGGTCACATTCAAAACTAATAAAAAAACTCCATACTAATAGAAGATTACCTGTGAATAGATGAGGCTACGCGTCTCCATGACCTTCCGTCATGGAACGCCCCCGATAACTCGCTTATGTTCCAGGCATTTGAATGGCATGTTCCTGATGATCAGGCTCACTGGCGTCGCCTCCTCCAAAAATTACCCACGCTGAAGTGTATGGGTGTTGACAATATATGGATTCCTCCAGGGTGTAAAGCTATGAGTCCTTCTGGCAACGGATACGACATCTACGACCTCTACGACCTAGGCGAGTTTGACCAGAAGGGGGCTCGTCCGACGAAATGGGGAACAAAAGAGGAATTGCGAAATTTTATTTCCGGGGCGCAAGATCAGGGAATAGGGATCTATTGGGATGCTGTGCTCAATCATAAGGCTGGGGCTGATTTCACAGAACGCTTCCCAGCAGTGAAGGTAGATCCGCAGAGTATGTATCTGTACCATGAACTATACACATAATGATTCGCAGGTGCTGATAATGCTAGATCGGAATCAAGAAATCTCAATACAAGAGGATATTGACGGCTGGGTAGGATTCAATTTTCCCGGTCGTGGTGACCAGTATAGCGCAGTGAAATATCACTGGCCTCATTTCAATGGCGTCGACTGGAATGATATTCGGCAAGAAAAGGCTGTCTTTAAAACAAAATGTCTCAATAAGGACTGGGCGACCGATGTCAGTAACGAGAATGGGAACTATGATTACCTCATGTTCGCGAATCTTGACTATTCAAATCCAGAGGTGCGGGATGATGTTCTCCATTGGGGAAGTTGGATTACCACCGAACTGTCTCTCAGTGGTATGAGATTGGACGCAGTGAAGCACTATTCAGCTGAATTCCAGAAGACTTTCATTGACGAGCTTCGGAGACAGTTGGGTGAGAAGTTCTTTTTCGTTGGAGAATACTGGTCAAGCAAAACAAACATCCTACTTGATTATCTGGAACGGATGGACCACCAACTGTCACTGTTTGACGTCCCTCTAGTCGACCGATTCTCTGCCATTTCGCACACCAAAGGAGCAGATATGCGGCGGATATTTGACGGAACCCTCGTTCAGAAAAGTCCTGACCATGCAGTTGTAAGATTACCTGTCAGCCAACTTGAAACACATCTGACTGTTCTTCTGCACACATTGGCAGACATTCGTTGCAAACCACGACACAGTAAGGCCATATTTACGTGTGATTTGATACTTAGCTAACTAGATATATGAGTGAAGCAACCAGGGCAATCGCTGGAGGTAAGTAAATGGCTTATTTTACCATTGATCCAGCTGACGGATGTACCAGACTCCCATCGCAGCCTTCTTTATACCACTTGCGTACGCCTTAATCCTTCTTCGTGAAAAAGGTCAACCGTGCCTTTTCTATGGGGACGTCTACGGCACTTCAAGAGACAACAAATATCCCGATAGAGCCCTATATGCGAACCAGATCTCAACTCTCACACAGGCTCGCAAGCTGTATGCGAATGGCGCCCAGAGAGATTACTTTGATAAAGCAAACTGCATCGGTCGGTATTCCAAAGTAAAAGTGAGATTGAAACCAAGGAGTGTGCTAATGGCTATTCAAGGGTTTATCCGCTACGGAAACAAGCGCCATCCTTCCGGCCTTGCCTGTATCTTGAGCAATGCCGGGCCATCTCGGAAGTGCATGTTCGTTGGCCGCACACATGCTGGGGAACGATGGACAGATATCTTGAATAGCCGGGAAGAAACAGTCAAGATTAACAGGAAAGGCTATGGGACGTTTTATGTCGGTGCCTATAGCGTTAGTGTCTGGGTAAACTCTTCTGTGGAGTGCAGGGAGAATCTCCATCAGATCCTATGAGACTCTGCACTTATCCACGTCCACACTTCCCAGAGTATATATAAACTGGGAGCAGCGGGCCTGCCACCGTGACGTTAGTCGCTCCTTCCTATGATGGAAGCAAAAACTGTTTGATTACACGAGGAAGGTACGACCCTGAGCGCGTCAATGCCTTATGTGGTAGGCGCAGCTAGACGCGTCGGCTACTCTTTCCCCATGTTATACTTGTTTTATAAGGAAGGCACCCAAGTATTCTATGGGTGATACGCCTAAGTAGAATGTGGTTTTAGCCGTGCCTGGAGTGATAGTGTGTATCTATGGTCTAGAGTGTATTTTTAATCTGTTGAATCATGTACCTCTATCCTTGGCCAGTGCCCAACCTCGGGCCTTTGTTAATGCATAGATTGTTTCTAAACGAGGCATGGGAACCTTTTTTTGCTTCCCAAGTCGAACAGTATTTCCCAAGATTGCTTCCACCTCAATAGCCCTGCCCTGCCTCACGTCCTGAAGCATACTTACTTCTCTCCCTGTGCCCGTTTCCGCTCGTCTCTTCGCAATGGAGAGTTTCTTTTCAGCCACCTCGGGCGTCACACCTTCAATCCCTACTACCCTTGCCAGCTCAATGATCTCCAGCATTACACCCCAAGCCAGGTCATAGGCGTATGGTTCCGAGGTTAGAAGGAAATCCCCGTCAGTGGTAAGTGTCAGAGCACAAATTGGGTTCCAGGCTGCATTCAAAAGCAGCTTGGACCAACGCGCGACCTGGATGTCTTCGTGGACTTGGGCATTGCCGCCACCCTTGATCATGAGGTCGGCGAACTGTCTTGCAGCAGCCTTGTGTGACTCTGGTGCTGTTGACGGATAAGTACCTAGTTCAAACAGGTTGAGCATCTCCGGGTACTCTATTGTGCCTGGGCCCGTTTGCACCGCCGGCAAGTAGATGACCCCGCTTATGACTGGATTCTGCGGAAACGCGGCGATAACTTCCTCCTCGATCATGATGCCGTTCTGCGCTAGGATAATGGCTGTTTGTGGTCTGTCGTCCAAGATTGAGCGGAGCTGTTCGGGCAGCGATGGCGTGCTACCTGGGAATGACTTGGTGCAGACCAAAACGAAGTCGAAAGTGTCGTTGGCACATTCAGAGATGTTGCGCACAACGACAGTTGGGCGATAGGTCACCTCACCATATCTCACAGATGACAACTTGAACCCATTTGTTTTGACGGCTTCGTAATTCGACCGGCAGACAGCTGTCACATTGCAACCGGCGTGGAGCAGCTGGTATAGATAGACACCACCGACACTGCCAGCACCATAAAGAAGAACATTGGCAGATGGACTCGGTTGGCTATCCATGGTGACGGACGCGATTGAAATAACTCAGAGAGTTCCAGGTTGGAGGGTCGAGCAACTTTTATGGAGTCGAAGAGGGGAGAAAATGAGTCTTACTGGTCTCGGGCCTCCATAACAGCCGGGTTGCCAAGATCGTTGTTCCCCATGGGCATTCTCCACAAGTCCCTTCAGTTGGTGACATCCACGCCTACTCTACAGTGTAGAGCTTATCAGATATATTATAACGACCAATTGCGTAAACATAACTATATTTTGAAAGCCAGTCCGCCATACTTCTTCTCCTTTTAAGTCCTACATATCAAATATTTCCTGCGGGTCATAAGGTATAAATTTGTCTTGCAGTGATGAAACCAATCTCGAGGAGCATTCGTCACGGCCTCTGTTGATAGTCCTACAAAAATGCGCTGATATAGCGTATCGTTACCTTGATGTGGTGAAGCACCTGCGCCTACATTGCAAGCAATGTCATCGTTGCTATGGTCTTGCGTGGCTCAAAATTTGCTGGTCGAATTGTTGTCTATATTCCGTTGGGAAGAACAAATATATCTTACCTCAACTTGTGTTCTTTTTGAGTACGTATTCCATGCTATGATCCAATTTCAGTTCAGTGAGAGGGTTATGGCTTTGGTCTGGGCGGGAAGAGTGAACTGCTTGGCATTTGATTGCCCATTAATAATCACACCTAAGATAGCCCAGAACAGCCACTTTCTCCCCACAGACAAGCTGACAACTTCGACTCAACCTTTCCTCGTTTTATGATGAAAGCGGGATCAATACGCTGCAGTGGAGGCCACTAATTAGTCGTGGTTGAGGGTTGCGCTCTCATCGTCCGTTCATTCCTCCCCTATTATGATCTGATTCCCTTTCATCATGTCTCCGTACTTTGGGCTCCCCCGAGCCCTCTCTTTCCTTCTTTTCCTCCTCGTCGCGACTCTAGTATCGGCAGAGCATACATCGAACTGGGCTGTTCTCGTTGCTACCTCGCGATTTTGGTTCAACTATCGTCATCTCGCAAATGTCCTCTCCCTCTACCGAACCGTCAAACGCCTCGGGATACCCGACTCGCAGATCATCCTCATGCTCCCAGATGACATGGCTTGCAACCCCCGAAATGCATTCCCCGGAACCGTCTACAGTAATGCCGACCGCGCGGTGGATCTTTACGGTGACAACATCGAAGTAGACTACCGGGGCTACGAAGTGACAGTGGAGAACTTCATCCGTCTTTTGACCGACCGATTAGATGAGGACGTTCCGCGCAGCAAACGCTTGAACACCGACGCCGGGAGCAACGTGCTCGTGTATATGACAGGACATGGTGGTGACCAGTTCCTAAAATTCCAAGACGCCGAGGAGATCGGAGCGTGGGATCTGGCGGATGCGTTTGGGCAGATGTGGGAGAAGAAACGCTACCATGAGTTGCTATTCATGATCGACACCTGCCAGGCCAATACGATGTACACCCATTTCTACTCGCCCAATATTGTTGCGACAGGGTCTAGTGAACTTGACCAGTCGTCTTACTCTCACCATGCGGATAATGATGTGGGGGTTGCGGTGATTGACCGCTGGACATACTATGTGCTTGAGTTCCTCGAGACGCAGGTGACTAGTACGAATTCAAAGCAAACGTTGGGCGACTTGTTCGATTCGTATGATGAATCGAAGATCCACTCGAATCCTGGCGTTCGATGGGACCTATTCCCTGGAGGGGAGCAGGAGGGCCGCCTTCGGACGCTGGTAGATTTCTTTGGGAATGTTCAGAGCGTTGAGGTAGAGAAGGCCGACGCTGATGAACCAGGCTCGCTGAAGGAGGATCTTGTTGAAATTGCGCGACTTGTCGAGAAGTGGAGGTCGTTTTCTCAGGACTATAACGCCGCTGGCAACACCACATCCGAGCAAGATGATACAGAAACCCGGCCTGCATATGAAGTGAAGCGGAGGAGTGTCGGCCCTGTGAAACTGGCTGACGAGACTCCCTGGGAGAAACGCTTGATTGGGTTGTCAATTCTGGGGGCGTGTGCGGCCGTCTGGTTCACTGGATCTGCCTTAGGCGGGACCATGGCCTGATCCTAATACTAGTACATTATTCGTTTTTGTTGCATTAGATTCTTGGATATTCTAGCGTGCTTCACAATGGTCATTTTCAAAGCATACCCCCGGTGTTTCTCCTGGCATTCACACGCCCGGCTAGAAAGGCATTCCAAATACTCTCCATCTTCGATCCTGTATTTCATGTCTGGAGTATTAATCCGCAATTCAGATGAAACACCCCATAAAAAGGAATGAATTACATACCTCTCTGTTGTCGCCTCGACCTTGAAAGAGGAGGCTTGGCGCCGGACTCCGCACGTGCGGCACGCCCTGGACGCGTCGGCGGCCGGGTGCGCGACCAAATCGGGGCTTTCCTGCAGTAATTGGAAACCAACAAAAGCGACCACCACCGCGCCCGTCTACAGCTTGTTTTCTCTGTAGTTTTTCTTCCATTCAGTTATAGGCCTTGCCAGGCCTCAATTCGCGCCTTTTAAAACTTCTGTCATCATTTTTCCCCTCTTCTTTATGATCTATCCCATTCTTATAAATGTCCTCTCGACGCGTTGATATACCACCACGACCACCGACAATACTACCGATTCGACGGACTGTGGCTTGAGAGAACACACTGGACTGACTGGCTATGTATCTCCCGCGCCAGCTGATATCCCACCTATACCTCCAGCTTCTCCGATCGCATCACCCCCTCTCACCACCTGTGTTGATTCTCGTCGCGCTCGAACCAGACGCCCTCTGCGCGTGCCGAATCCTAACCGCCCTCCTGAAGCGCGACTACATCCCACATAAAATCCACCCCGTTGCTGGATATGGCGATCTATCACGCGCCGGCGAAGAGCTTGTCCGGCCAATGCAGACGGGGAATGGGGGGAGTGGAGGTGTTGTTGTTTGCCTGGGGGTTGGCGGGCTTGTGGACCTCGGTGAGATTTTAGGGCTGAGTGGTGAGGATGACGAGGCGGAGGATATGGGGGGTGTGGAGGTTTGGGTGTTTGACGCGCGGCGGCCGTGGAATCTGGCGAATGTTTTTGGGGGCGAGGGCGGACAGCAGCAGCAAGTTCTTGGGGAGGCTGATGCGAACGGTCATGCTGTGCGGAGGAAGACGCCGGGTGTGGATAAAGGGTGTATTACGGTTTCGTACAAGTTTGGGAATGGGAATGGGGGTGTTGTTGTTTACGACGACGGGGATATCGAGGAAGAGATGGAGAAAGAGAGGGAGGCATACTGTGCTCTATTGGAGATGCCGGAGGTGGATGAGGGGGAGGAGGACGATGGTGATGACGATGAGGATGGTGAGCCACCGTCAAGCTCTGACTCGAAGAAGCGCAAGTCCTGGTCAAGGGAGGATGATGAGGAGGACGACTTTGATGATGATGATGGGCCTCCCCGGCAGCGGAGGCGGAGTGACTCTGTGCGTTTTATAGAATTGATTTACGCGTTGGCTGCTAACACTAGACTTAGGGCTCGTCGATTGCCTCATCGCCGACTCGACAACGGAGACACAACGGACACGACTCTTCTAACTCGTCGCGCTCTGCTACTCCCGTGTCGGATTCACCCTCGCCTGCACAGTCAAAGCAACCGTCTGCACAGTCTTTGCGACGCCGGTTACTTCGAAT